CCTGAGCCCGCGGGTTCGAGACCCGCCTGGGCAACTTGGCAAGACCTCATCTCTACAATAAATCAAACAAATTAGCTGGACATGGTAGCGCACGCCTGTAGTTCCAGCTATTTGGAAGGCTGAGGCGGAAGAATCGCCGGAGCCCAGCGGTTCAAGGCTGCGGTGGCTGGGAGCATGCCACTGCACACTTCTTTTGAGACTCCAACTCAAAAAAAAAAAAGATTGAGCATGGGCACTGCTGGGGGGGTTGGGGCATGTGACAACACAAAGAATACCTGAGCCACTACTAGGGATAGTGAGGGCCAGTTAGAAGCCCAAATGTCACCTGCATGCTGCCTACTTATGTAGTTAATTCTCACTTGCACCCCACATCTCTATAATAAAAAAAATTTCTAAAGATTGAGCCAGTTTATGTGTGCATATATTTGTCTTTGTATATATTTACATGTTTTTAAAAATATGTAACGATATTATATACATAAAACGCAAATTTTGAGAGCACATTGTTAATATTCAAAAGCATCTTTCAGGCCGGGTACAGTGGCTCACGCCTGTAATTCCAACACTTTGGGAGGCTGAGGCAGGAGAATGGCTTGAGCCCAGGAGCTCAAGAATGGCCTGGACAACATAGCAAGACATCATCTTTTCCAAAAAAAAAAAAAAATTAGCCAGGCATGGTGGCACACGCCTGTAGTCCCAGCTACTGGGGAGGCTGAGGCAGGAGAATCACTTGAGCCCAGGAGGTTGAGGCTGAAGTGAGCTATGATCGTGCCACTGCACTCCAGCCTGGGTGACAGAGTGAGACCCTGTCTTAACAAAAAAAGGAGAAAGAGAAGAAGATAACAGATAGCTCTTCTAAGCGGAAGTCTTCAGGAGCTGGTGATTATCTCCCCCTCACCACCACGTTCAGTGTTTTGGTCCATTCTTGCTGCTACAACAACATACCACAAACTGGGTAATTTACAAGTAATAGAAATGTATTCCTGACAGTTCTGGTGTCTGATGGGAACCCAGACTCTGCTTCTAAAGTGACCATTGTGTCTTTACATGGCAGAAGGACAAAAAGAGCTTGGAGTTCTCTCTGCAGCCTCTTTTATAAGTTTACTAATTGCATTCCTAAGGGCTCTGCCATCATGACTTCATCACCTCCTGAAGGCCCCACTTCTTAGTACTGTCACATTGGTGATTGTTTCAACATGAATTTTGGGAGACACAATTAGACCATCACATTCGGTGCCATTCCGTGTGGTGACTCCCCCTCAAACTGGGCCCCTGAGCAAAAGTGATCTGCACCTCCAACTTCAGTCTACTCAGTCTGTGGCAGGTATGTCACATGAGAAATAAACCTTTGTGGTTTTAAGCCATTGACATTTTGGGATTATTTGTGACAACAGGACCTGACCTATCCTGCCAGTTACAGACATGTTTTCAGATCTTTCTACTTTTCAGGAGACATTAAAAATCTAGGTTATCTGATTCAGTGTTCTTTTGAAAAAGCATTTTATTTATGAATGTACAAAAATATTTTGCAGGTCAGGAGTGGTGGCTTACGCCTATAATCCCAGCACTTTGGGAGGCCAAGGTGAGAAGATTGCCTCAGCCCACAGATTTGAGACCAGCCCGGGCAAATTGGCAAGACCTCATCTCTACAATAAATTTAAAAACAAAAAAATTTTAGCCAGATGTGGTGGTGTGTGCCTGTAGTTCTAGCTAGTTGGAAGGCTACGGTGGAAGGATCGCCTGAGCT